AGATAGATAGATAGATAGATAGATAGATAGATAGATAGATAGATAGATAGATAGATAGATAGATAGATGGTAGATAGATACTGTAGATTAGAATAGATAGAGATACAAATAGAGAGAGATACAGAGAGAGAGAGAGTCAGAGAGAGAGACAGATACAGAGAGGTAGAGATATAGAGGAAGATAGAAATAGCGAGAGAGAGGCAGAGACCAGAGAGAGAGAGAGAGATACAAAGAGAGAGAGAGAGACAGAGAGAGATATAGAGATACACACAGAGAGACAGACAGAGAGAGACAGGGAGATAGAGAGATACAAAGAGAGAGATACACACAGAGTGAGACAGAGAAAGATACAGAGAGAGCTACACAGAGAGAGAAAAGTGGGAGTCAGCCCCAGTGGAAAGCCATGGTGGGCTCGCTTTTGTGGCATGCACTGGTGGGCTAGCAGCCATGATTTGTGCCTTGCCGTGGTAGAGGAACTTAGCCAATGGAGATTTATTCAAAGCAAACCATGGGATATCCAGGCAAAGAAAGTCGTTATGATATCGTAGGAGAAGGGCAGGCAGAGCTGAGGTGGTGGTGGGGTTAAGCTTGTCATCAGCCTAGAATCATTGCGTTCCCACAAAGGATCCAAGTCTAACCCTCTCTCGAATTCCATTGGCCCTTATCTGGTGCTAATTTAGTATTGAACTTTAGTTGAATAGATTCTTGGATGTGGGCTTGAGCAATACATCTTCCGAATTGCACCTTAACGGATAGTCCTGATTTTTTGCACCTGGGAGATATAATGTCTTCGTTGATTTTATGGGTAACACCACTGTCCTTGGCAAGGTGGGGGGGTTTCTGTGCCTTTAGCTACCAAAAGTATTCTAAGACTACAACTATCTTCCTTTGCAGAGAAAACTGCCAGAGCAGGATATTGCCCAAGGATCCTACATCGCTCTTCCGTTGACTCTGCTGCTTTTGTTAGCTGGCTACAATCACGATAAGGTAATAGAGAGGATGTTTTGTAACTATGATAGTATGGTTTTGACTGTGCTTCAGGTTGAGTGGCTTCCCTTTCTTGGGGACCCAATGAACATCATTGTTCTGACCCCAGCACCCCAAACATGACAAGCCCTCTGACGTGAACTCCAAATGTTCCTTTATTTGCTGGCAGCTACTGCAAAAAGTTTTATCACGCAGGCTAACAACTCCGTCCCTCCAGGAGATGAATAATTGCCTGCCACACCTATTCATCTCCTCTCCCTGCCTTTTATCCCCAGAGCTAGGGTGGGGCTTCGCTAGCAGTGGTGGCCCTTCCTTCCCAAGGACCGGCCCATAGATTTCCACTGCTCTCCTCTCCTCTGCCTTCTGCACATGCTCATGTCAGGCACTGGACTCAGCTGTTCCTCCTCTTCCTCATCAGCCACCTCCAGACCTGGGGGCTGTTGAGTCTCTATCTGAGGGCTGACAGACGGCCCAGGCTCTGCCTCTGTTTCTCTATCTCTTTCTCTCTGTTTCTTTCTCTCTGTGTCTCTCTGTCTCTGTATCTCCCTCTGTCTCTGTCTGTCTCTCTCTGTGTATATCTCTCTGTGTCTGTATCTGTCTCTCTCTGTCTCTCTCTGTCTCTGTATCTCCCTCTGTCTCTGTCTGTCTCTCTCTGTGTATATCTCTCTGTGTCTGTATCTGTCTCTCTCTGTCTCTCTCTGTCTCTGTATCTCCCTCTGTCTCTCTGTCTGTCTGTGTCTCTTTAATATTATCTCTGTCTGTCTCTCTCTGTATCTCCCTCTGTCTCTCTCTGTCTGTCTGTGTCTCTCTCTGTGTGTATATCTCTCTGTATCTGTCTCTGTCTCTCTCTGTCTTTGTCTCTCTGTCTCTCTGTATCTCCCTCTGTCTCTCTCTGTCTGTGTCTCTCTGTGTGTATATCTCTCTATGCTGTATCTGTCTCTCTCTGTATCTCTGTCTCTGTCTCTCTCTTTCTCTCTCTGTATCTCCCTCTGTCTCTCTCTGTCTGTCTGTGTCTCTCTCTGTGTGTATATCTCTCTGTATCTGTCTCTGTCTCTCTCTGTCTTTGTCTCTCTGTCTCTCTGTATCTCCCTCTGTCTCTCTCTGTCTGTGTCTCTCTGTGTGTATATCTCTCTGTGTCTGTATCTGTCTCTCTCTGTATCTCTGTCTCTCTCTCTCTCTCTGTCTCTCTCTCTCTCTGTATCTCCCTCTGTCTCTGTCTGTGTCTGTGTGTATATCTCTCTGTCTGTATCTTTATCTATCTCTGTCTCTCTGTATCTCCCTCTGTCTCTCTCTGTGTCTCTCTGTGTGTATATCTCTCTCTGTATCTGTCTCTGTCTCTCTCTTTGTCTCTCTCTGTCTGTCTGTGTCTCTGTGTGTATATCTCTGTCTGTATCTGTCTCTGTCTCTCTCTCTCTCTCTGTATCTGTCTCTGTCTGTCTATCTGTGTCTCTCTCTGTGTATATCTCTCTGTCTCTCTCTCTCTGTCTCTGTCTCTCTGTCTCTCTCTCTCTGTCTCTGTCTCTCTCTCTCTCTGCCTCTCTCTGTCTCTCTGCCTCTCTCTGTCTCTGCCTCTCTCTGTCTCTCTGCCTCTCTCTGTCTCTGCCTCTCTCTGTCTCTGCCTCTCTCTGTCTCTCTCTCTGTGTGTCTGTCTCTTTCTCTCTCTGTCTCTCTGTCTCTGTCTGTCTGTCTCTCTCTCTCAGCTCCTTTCCCTCTTCCCCCTCGGAGCTCTCATGTCTGTTCGTTGAGTGGTTTGACCTCCCAGGAATATATGATTGTCTATTTAGGGTAGTGGGATTACTGAGCTGGGGGAGGGGGTGGCAGATGGATTGAACCATCAGTTACACTTTCATACACTTATGGAAGAGAATATTTGTAGCTTGGAGGTTGAAATGTGGAATGCTTGGTGCTCTCTGAGCTTGGTAGCTTTCTCATGGACCTTTCATGACTCAGCTAGGTAACATCCTCAGTGCTAGAAGAGAGTGGAGTTCGCTCTGTTTCTTATCCCTTCTTGCGCTGATGATGTTACCTAATTGGGCCTTGAGACGTCTGCAAGAAAGCAATCAATCCGAGAGATCACCAAGGACTTCACATTCTAATGTGCGCTTGGTGAACCAGAAGGAACTTCTCACTATTTTGTAATGTGGGTTGATGACTTGTAATCATAGCATCATGTTGGTCTTTGGAGTAGACTTCTCTCTTTCCCTGGACCAAAACGTGGCCTGTTTTCTGTTCCTCCAGTTGATTCCCTTGCTGCTCCAGTTAACCAGCCGTCTCCAAGGGGTGTGTGCTCTGGGGCAGGCGGGGGCCGATACAGGAGGCCTGGAGGATATCAAGAGGCAAGCCAAGAAACAGAAGACGAGACGGACGTGAGAATGGATGTCCCAATCAGTTGTGTTGGTTTCACTTACTCCTCTTTTCGCTTGGCTGCTAAAGTGAGACTCTCCGGGTTACAGCAAAGAAATCCTTTGCACTGGACACCTGGATTCAGAGTTGCCTTGTCACGGGTATGATTTTTTTTTTACATGGAGTATCTTGAATGTCACAGAAGCCCTTTTAAGAGAGAGCCTCTGTCCTAAAAGGCAGTGTTGGGGGTTATCAATTACGGTCAGGCTTGAAAGAACGATGAGCAATTAAATTTGTTTTCACCTCCAACTCGGTCTCATTTAATGCTCAGGCATTTTTGTTGTTACTTGTTCCTGATTTGCTTCATTTCCTATTTATATTTTTTTCTTTCCAGGCTCTAAATCTTTTTCAAGTAGCATCCTGGAATGTACGCACAGGAAGGGAACTTGGCAATTCTCTGGTCAAATTCTGTGCTCATTGCAGAAATCTGGTTCTACAGCATTTTAGCCCACTATGACCATTTCAGTCCAAACTTCTGCGAGCTGGCCACCATCCAGAGGTGGGGATTCTCTCTCCCGTAATTCTCCCAACTACGATGGCTATTACCGAGGATTCTGAAAGTTGGAATCCACACACCATGTAGATTCACTTCTAAATGCTCTAACCCAGTGGTCTCCAACCTTGGCAACTTTAAGACTTGTGGACTTCAACTCCCAGAGTTCCTCAGCCAGCTTTGCTGGCTGAGGAACTCTGGGAGTTGAAGTCCACAGGTCTTAAAGTTGCCAAGGTTGGAGACCACTGCTCTAACCCACCTGTTCTGACCTAGACGTCCTGAACCAGTAAAAACCACACGCTTAGTCCCAAAAACCCTCTTTTTATTTCAACGCCTGTGAATTATATTCATTC